AATCTGGACTGAAAACCTGTTCATGATGTGCAATATTTTGTCAATCATTTTTACTTGAACTGTTAGGTAAATATTATAAAATATTTTTATTGAAGGTTGCATTTTGCATACTTAAAATGTTTATTTTGTAAATTTAAAAATATAGTTTGAGAAAATTAAAATATGGCATTTTAGAAGAAAAAAAATCTTTTTCAATATTGAGTATGTGCAAAGAAGTGCTATACTACAGAAGACGGTGTTTCTTACTTTCTTTTACATGTATGTTAATGACAAAATAAGTCATTCATGGAACTTAATCAAGAAATGTTTCTATTAAAGAAATGGTTTTATAGAATAAAACCTTACAATAGAATTGTTAGTGAACAAATACAATGTAAAAGACCTCGTGCTAAGCAAGGCCCAGTCACCAAGGATTGCAAGATTTAGCCCTAATCAATTATTATATTCTTAATACAATTTGAACATAAAGACTTAGTATTGCATTAGTCACTTAGGCCCAGTTCCTCAAAGATATTACGTGCTCAGTGGCCACATCTATACAAGACACTGACTGCACAGAAGCCCAAGACTACTGCACAGTAGTGTTGGGTGGCAGAAATCAGGATACAATGCTACTACGTGGTAGTCTTGGGCTACTGCTCAGTCATCATCACAAAAACAGTTTGTCAGCACTACTGTGCAGTTTATACAAATACTAAATGACTGTGCAGTAATGACTGAGAAGTCAGCATCTCGTGTACATGGCCAGTTACCTCAAATTCCTTGGTAGAACTGGTTTTAGCCCTTTAATTACATTGCTATATAAGATAAATATGAATTAAAGCTAAAGGATCAAACCTTGCTTTTTCCTTTGTCATATAAAAGTCTCACTGATTTCTTTGGTAGTGAAAAATGAAATCCTGTGTAAAGAATAGAACAAGAAAAAATAATGAAAAGAGTTAGTGACCATTAGTGAACAAAACACCACAAATTTATCATATCCTAAAGTTAAAATAGAATCTTATTTTCAAATAAACTGCTAATTCTTCCACTTTTGATACATTACCTCAGGGATGCTTTGTCTTTACTCATTTAAGAGATGCTTTAATATTTGTCTCTGTTTTGTGTCACTGATTAGACTGCAACGTATTAAAGAAATCTATGATCCATTAAGCAGGAATTTATTAATACAGTGAGGGGCCAACATCTTTGGCAAGTTTGACACAAATAATATCTGCAGCCTCTCCAAGTGCCACTTTGATCCCTCTCCTTTGCCTGATGTGCTATTCTGCTCTCCTAGCCTGTGCACCCGGTCCTATCTGCTGCTTTGCTTTCTGCTTCCTGCCCCATTGTCACTGTGCTGCCTATCCCTTCCTGATCTGCTGTGCCACATGCCTAAGCTGCCTATGCCACTTGTGGCACATATACTACGCATTGCCCTTCCCTGATTCAATACATGTGAACTTAATAAACTTTTTTTAAAGGCCTGTTTGAAAGACAAGAAAAACCTTGAGACCTTCCTCTTGGGTCCTTTTGTGGGTATGTGACCATTACAGCTGAAATTAGTATTAACTGATTAATAATACTGGATTAAGTATTAGGTAATGCACACTGGAACTAAGTCAATGGGAAAACTGGACCTCTTGTTCCTTCAGTCCAGATTCAGTCACTTCACAGATTATTTAAAGACCATGGAGGTTATGAAATATTATGCTTCCAAGAGGTGTAAATATTTTAATTTACGGCCCAAACACTTGATGATGTCTGAAAATGCCCTGTTCCAAAACACTGTAAAGAGGTCTGCCAAACAGGATCCATGAAGCATGGTGGGGGCAAAATTCTATTCCACTTAGCAGATGTCTAAATGGACTTTTTTGCCTAGGTACAAGTCGATTCATCTTGTTCAAGAACCTGAAAATCCATTATAGCACACTATCATTTTATAATTAATAGTGAGCCACAAAAAAGAGAGAGAGAGCAGGAGGACCCACCCACCTTTTTCATTAACCATTTTTTCCAGATTTGAGTAGGGTGGGATAGAATTGTATTTAGAAGCCTAAGTCAATTTACATACTCACTACATAAAATAGAGTCTGGCCCTGATGTGTGATGTAACCATACCACGCCTTTTTATGGCCTGCTGTTATTTATTTTTGATGCAGGAGAATCACAACAATTCAATTTCAAGAAGTATGTCTTCTAACTTCATTAAAGTTAGGGCAGGCCTTATGAGGAAAGGCTACAGGACCTGAACCTGTTCAGCCTCCAGAAGAGAAGGCTGAGGGGGGTCTAGTTGCCTGTTACAAACTAGTCAGAGGGCACCAGCAGGCATTGGGGAAGTCCCTGTTCCCCATGCATTACCAGGAGAGACCAGGGATAATGGTCACAAGCTGGCAGAGGGTAGATTTAGGCTAGATATCAGGAGGCGCTACTTCACGGTCAGGGCGGCTAGGATCTGGAACCAACTTCCAAGAGAAGTGGTGCTGGCTCCTACCCTGGGGGTTTTTAAGAGGAGGCTAGATGTACACCTTGCTGGGGTCATTTGACCCCAGTACTCTTTCCTGCCCATGGCAGGGGGTCGGACTAGATGATCTACTCAGGTCCCTTCTGACCCTAGAAACTATGAAACTATGAGACTATGAAAGGTAACTTGCAAAGATTATTTATACATCAGATTTTTCTTTTATTCTTTTACTTGTTATGTTAGGCCTGTGGCCTGTAGGTCAAAACCAGACCATTGAGCCATGTCATCTCATCCACGGGATTCCTATGGGTTCAAAAATTTGATGGCAGGTGAGCAGTGACAGTGTGAATAGCTGCTCATCTGCTCACCTATAGATGTGGGGAGTCACCCAGATCAGGACATGTGGAGAATCTTGCACGCCAGATAATGTGGGCCCCTGTGCTGATCATTCTGATGTGTGGTCAGGACAGCACATGGATGGATCCAGAGTACAAGGTCAGGCCAGTGTGTGATTGGGACAGTGCACAGGATTCCACCCCTGACCTCAAGCACCGATACCATATGAGATCTGGCTCATGGACAAACACCATGCCATTCATCTAACTTGTGGAGGCAGAAGGCTGGGCACTACTGCTTTAAGAATATCAAAGCTATTAACATTTCACTTTGTATAGCTTTGCTGGAAGACATTTTAAGAATTCCATAGATATCTTCATTTTAAGACTAGAAGGGATCCACTAAGATGATCTGTTTTTTTGTGGTTTTTCCCCCCCAGTACAAGTTAAATATATGAGCTTAGTATTGCATTACAGGCCAAAGAATTTCATCCAGCAAACTGTATCCAGGCCATATCTTCCATTAGAGCTAAATATATACCCGCTCTTGATTTCAGTTGATGGAAAAAACACCACATCCCCAAGTAAGTTGTTCCAGTGATGGACTGCCCTTAGAACAACTTGTAGTGAGTTCTACCATAAAATCATAACAACAACAAAACCCACAAAAATGGGCATCCTTGTATCAATATCTTTTAAATAGGGAGTAACAAAAATAGACAAAGAAGTTCAGAAAATTTAACTATTCTGTCAGTCATTCAGAATTCATTCTAATTTGGAAGACCGTTTCATAGATTTCATAAATTTCATAGGCATTAAGGGCTGAAAGACAAAAAAATTATCCTTCTTTGGATATCACAAAAATTTCAAAGAGGGTACAGACCCATTTATTATTTTTTCTGCCTTTGCAGAATAGTGTTCCTTCACTGCGATGTGACAATTAGATGAAAGGATCTATTTTTTTAAAGAGTATATGGCACAAATCTTGCTTTCAACTGACAGCTGAAGCATGAAGAATGTTAATCCAGCCCTAAACCAACTCTGGAATCCATAGCATAATACATAAAAGGCAGGAGGCTAGACATATATGCCATATACTGATGTCAACACTCCATCTCCCGCAGGCAGCCAGAAAAAAATAATCAGCAAAAATATGCAGTTGTGAGAGATTTTTATATTATTATATTAGGAAATAATTTTCAGTCAATCTTCAGCTGGACGTGAAATTATTTAACACCCATTGCACCAAAATGCAAACCTCAGGCCAAAAAACCAGTGTGTACATCACTTTAAAAGTCCAAAACATATTAGAGCAGTGGTCTCCAACCTTTGCTGACCCATGAGCAATACTGAACAAGTAATGTACTGCAGGCAACATCATACTTTGCTCTCGCTGTCAACCTCAGTTTTAACTTTTTAATCTTCCATGGCTGCAAGCAATTCCAGAGACTCTAACAGGCAACATGTTGCTTGCAAGTCACGGGTTGAGTTGTGCTGTATTAGATGAACAATGAAAGTAATGCCAAATTGATTAAAACCACTGGGCCTATTATTTATTGTACAAATAAAAATACAGTGAGTGTATTTTGGATAAAGCCTAAAACAGAAGCTTAAGCAATGAGTTGAAAAATTAACCCCCAAACCTGGCCATATTCTTATTTAAATAAATATATGTTGCACACTTAAATTCACCAGTACTATCGTCCATATATAAGAAATATTCACTTTCTATCATAAACCAGTAAAGAAAGTTGCTGTGCATGTTTAAAAACGTACTGCATTTTAGCATGAAGGGACGTGAACCTTTTACATAGCTTATTAGGTGCCCAGTCTTCCTCCCCATTGGCAGTGTTTCCATTAACTTTAATCAGGGCAGGAGCAGACCCTAATCCTGTAAGGCACTTTATAATCCTTTGGGGTGAAAGACATACAAATGATTATTAATTACTTGTCAACACCCCATTTTGAAAATGTCTCCTATTCAAAGAATGTCAGATCTTAATTTCAAAATTCATTTTGGTGTAGCAATTTTAATACCTCTAATTAATGTTTTCCAGTCAGTGGGATTTTTTATGATACTGTAATTCTAATCTCTAAAGTCCTTGGTGTTCATATTCATGTAATGAAAAACACTGATTTTTTCCCAAAGATATATAAAGATAGACCAAAACAGCTTCCTCCCTTTCAATGCAGACTGATGGATTTTAAAAGCTCCAAAAGCAGTTGGTATGTGATTATGTACAGAAATCTCTCTTTTAAAAAAAGATGCATGTCAAGTATTAAAAGGACACTGACAGCTTAAAAATAGTATTTTTCAAATAAATACATTTCTTTACCCATGTTACTAGTAATATCATACAGATGAGAAGCTAAAACTTTTAAAATATGTAATATATGTGATACTGCATATGCTATTTGTTTATACTGTGTATTTTGGACAAAACAAATTAATGGAATCAGTTCCACATATATTAATAATCAACCTCACTTTAACGTTGTTTGTCCTACGATGATTTCATTTTTTTCATTTTAATACATAATTATGCAGATGTTTCTCTTGTAGATGTTCTAAACATAAGAAGTAAATATAAATTGATTGTACCGTAGTAAAGAATAAATTACTTTTAAAAATAGAAGCTTAGGGCCTGATCAAGCTAACCATTCAAGACAGTTCTACATGCAGATGACTAGGAGGATCAAACCATTAGCTAGTGATTCATTCATCTTCTCTAATTTCAATGCTAAGAGCTAGGCTCCCAAAAGCACATTTAGGTCCCTATGTAAAAGTAGCCTGATTTTTTTTTCAGAATACTTTTCCCAGTGAATTCCACAGCAGATGCAAATAGAAATGCATTTGAAGTGAATCATTAGAAATCATGTAAACATTTTTAAAAATTTACATACCTCAGTATGGATTATGGACATGAATTTCAAGTCCCCAAATTTGGGAAGGAAAAAAAAGCCTCAATCTTTCACTTAAATCTTGCAAAAATTTCAGAAAAAAGAGAATATCTCAGTGCAGTCAGAGTGATACCTAAGTGGAGAGAGAAACTCAGGCCCAATTGCTACTTAACACTTTTTACAGTGCTTTAAATGGGAAAAACACTTCCAATTAATAATCCACTAAAGCCTATAATGTACCTTAAAGTAAGTGTAATGGTATTATTACCATTCTGGTAAGCCAGAACTTTTGGGCAAATAAACATACAAAGAAAGTACGCTCTATAGTGTCTGAAACAGGATTAAAATTCAGGTCCTTCAGCTTCTAGCTATATAAATGTTTCACAAACAAGCACCACCTTTTTGTTTATATATGGACCTAATCATTCCTTGTCTGCATGAGTTCAACAGCAAATTCTACTAGTCTAGCCTGAAAATGCTTTAACGCTTTGTTGCAAAGTACAACATTTTTCTCTTCTTTATAACTGATTACCAGGGATCCTCTTTTTTGCTGATAAAAAAATCCCCAATATTTGGATTAAAAGAAGTAACCCCAAATCCACATTTTCCTATAATCAAAATGAAACACCACTCTGTGTGTGTGTGTGTGTGTGTGTGTGTGTGTCTG